AGTGGGTTTAGCGATTTTCGAGACAGAGTGAGGGTTTACAGACTTTGTGTATCATTTTCATGGTGGTCGTCGTCGTTGTTTTCTTCACTCTGTCGGCAGTGGACAGTTTTCGACGATGGCATAGTGAGAGAAATGAGAGAGTGAATGAGAGATGAAGGGTTCTTCGAATGGGGGATTGGAGCATGCATAGTGGTTTTTGCTCTATTCTTTTTTTTTTTTTTTCAATTTCATCTGACATTGAATTTGGTACTATTTCTTCCATTTGTCAAATCTCATTTAATTAGGACATGTAGGATATTTGAAATTAGTTTCAGGGGAAAATATGACTAAAATTGACATTTTTGCAATGCTAAAGAAAAGGTGATATTTTTGTAAATGTTTTGACAAATTTTGACATCCTCCGCAATTTCCACTAAAATAAAATGAAGTATTTTAGCCCCTGTTTGGTGGGAATTAAAATTTAAATTATATTTTAAGTCAAAGTTAACAATTAATTTCAACAACATATTTAATGAGATCCACAACTTTTTAATCACACACTTCTTCAAATTTTATCAAAATTTACTAAAAATCTAATTTCAAAGAATGGTTAAAGTTATTTGTGATGGGAAAATAAGGGTCAAATTCTAAGATGTAGTCGATGAAGGTGTTCAATTTTTGAAGACTGCTTCAAACTTGGCAACCACAATCAATATATAGAGTCAATAGAGTTGGATCAGATCTTTTAGATTTTTGCTGTCTATTACTTAAATTCTTTGTTAATTTGAGTTAGTTGTAATTTTTCTACGGGGGATTACGGGTTCGAGAAAATCAGCATTTACACTGAAACTGAGACACGACTAAACTTCTATATTGGCTCGAAGCATTGAGCTATGTGCACAAAAAAAAGTAAAAAAAAAAATGTAAAGGTTAAAGAAAAATGTTTGATGCCTGGAGTTAAAGCCAATCAAAGTATGCTTTGGTATCATTTTGCTACACTAGTGACCTTTTATTTTATTTTTTACTTTGAAGTGACTTTGAACCTAAGTCATCTTTTGTTCCATTATCTAAATCTTTAGTTTTAAGTATGCATTGGATGACTCTAATCGCAGAAGTCATGAAAGTTAATCATTTTGATGGAAGGTAATATTAATTATTTAGTTAAAGAAAAAAAACTATAAGATGCATGAAGAGATTGAGGAGCAATTTTTCTTTTTTTTGCAAGAGCCAATTTCAATGCTTTGTACATTACATGAAATCTCACTAATGGACCTTCACGATGGCAATCACTTGAGTACAAGAGCAAGAGATCTCCTGATAAATAGGCAAACTCAAAGAGGAGGGGGGGGGGGGGGGGGGGAAAAAAAAANACTACTTATCATAGGAGCAGGATAAGTGATGTCCAACAAGCGCCGATGAAGAACACAAGCAAATCTAGAGCCCAAGTATCCATCGATTCCATCAAGAGAAAAAGACTAGTAAGAATGCTGGCCGCTTAGGGTGATTGAACTAAGAAATTCAGCTTTTCAAAGCAGAGTCATTCGTACCGCTTCCTTATTCTCTAAGTATAAAAAAAAAAATGCCAGTAGAAAGCATGAGAGCTAAGCCATCGCGGCAAAGTTTATACCTTAGAATGTCAACTAAGCTAAGGCTTCATTGTGTCTTGTATCCTTCTGCTCAAATATTCAAACTTGTAATAAAAAATCTTCAAATTTGTCAGTTTTTAGTGAAATTGATCTGAAAATATTGCAATACCTAATTAAATATCATTTATGAAGTGCATCTCAAGACACAAAAACTAGAAGGGTTCAAAAGAGATTTACGAAAGCAACTTCTATGAATAACTTTAATCTCACTGATAATTACCAATTCTTGTATTAATCAATTAGAAAAATTACCAAAACTTGCATCAATATCTAATGTATATTTCAGAAGTTTATTCCACGAAAATAATTATCTATATTGGTAATGTATGGAGTGATAGTAAAATAAAAATTATATCAAATAATCAATGAAAACACTATAATCATTCTGAAAATTAATTTTTCTGAAAAAAAAAGTAATAAATCAAATTCTGGTTCATGATTCTGTAAATAAATAAATAAAACAATTAACAAGAGAAAAATAAAACACCCCGCTCCAACCCACCCCATGCCCCCCACTTCCACCAAGAAAAGCATATCCAAGGGAGCCTTTTCTTCCATTTCTGTGTTGATCCTAAATAATTAGAAACTGACAACATTTTCACAAATCCATCAAACTCATAAAACTATAAAAAATTCCATACGATCCTCACTTCCTACTGCACAAAACAACCCACTATGCTTAATAACTGATACATAAAGTCACTGGAAAAGGAAAACCCTTGCAAGTATGGAATCCAGCATCGAATGCGTATCATACTCTGATGGAATGGATGAAGATGAGATCTCTCATCCACATCCTTATGCTCAGTATTCGTCTTCCAAACCATCTCACAACATCAACAGTGGTAACAACAGTAATCTCACTGGTGGGTTAATTAATCCACCCACTAGTGTTCATGAGCTTCTTGAATGCCCGGTTTGTACCAATTCTATGTACCCTCCTATCCACCAGGTGTGTTGAGTTTCTTTTTAATTTTTACAATTCAAGATTCAATTTTTATGTTGGTAATTTGGTCGATTTCTTGAAACTTTGATATTCTAGAGCCAGCTTTATGGGTTAACTGATGCAAAAATTGTAATTTTTTTGGTTGGTTTTGCAATTCTATGTGCATTTTTGAGGATGTGTTGATCTGAACTTCGGGAGTAATTTGTGGAAACTGTTGCATTTTATTGTAATATTTAACGAAAGCGGATCTTGTTTTGCCTATGATAATTTTTGGCAATTGTTTGAAGTAATGAGGATGCTGTTATGGAGATTTTGGTTGGTGGAAATATACTGTTGATTTATTAGGTGAGAACTCAGAAGGCATTAAGGGAAAATAATCAATTGCCTTTTCCCCTCCTGGTTTAGTTTAATTACCAAAAAATTGGATCNGTGAGAACTCAGAAGGCATTAAGGGAAAATAATCAATTGCCTTTTCCCCTCCTGGTTTAGTTTAATTACCAAAAAATTGGATCGCTGGTGTCTTTTATCATCATGCTGATATTTTGGGGAACAGCTTTTGGGCTGAGGGAAAATTTCAGCTGCAAAGGAATATCACAGTTGAATTATCATTTGGAGATAGATGTGGAGGAGAATGAACTAGAGACGGTTACTGGTTGAGGTTTTCTGATGCAAAGATAAATCTAGTGCTTCTAATTTTTCTTGACCATGAGCAACTGCAAGTTTCTTATGTTTTTATTGAAGTTTTGAACTTCCTTTTTTCTCTTTCCTTTTACTTAAATGTTATCGGAAAACATGATAAGATCTGTAGTAGGTTGAACAGACATCTCAGGTAAAACTTTTTGGTAAAACTTAGAGATTATTTATCCAAAAACTGTTAAATTTGAGTTCTGGAGATGTCTTCGACTGATAATATGGACAAAGGAGGCGAACTTTGAATTAGTCAATAATATATTTTATACTCCATTCTAAGTAGGAGAAAAAGAAGAACGAATTTTGTGAACTAAATTTTTGAAGCCGTAGCAAGATTTTTTAAGAAGTTTTTCCTGACATGTTTGGAAACAAAATATTACTCAAAAATAACTTTACTTACTCTTAACCTTAACCAGACGTGCTTGTTTCATGATAAGCCAAATGTATTTAAAGAGGATTTTATCATCATTTTATTCACTGCAGTGCCACAATGGACACACCCTCTGTTCAACCTGTAAAGCTAGGGTTCACAATCGATGCCCCACCTGTAGACAGGAGCTTGGTGATATAAGATGTTTAGCACTAGAAATGGTGGCTGAATCTCTTGAGCTTCCTTGCAAGTATTGTTCCCTCGGTTGTCCTGAGATCTTCCCTTACTACAGTAAGCTCAAACATGAGGCTGTTTGTAATTTTAGACCTTACAAATGCCCATATGCTGGATCCGAGTGCTCAGTTGTCGGTGATATTCAGTTCCTGGTTGCTCATTTGAGAGATGACCACAAGGTTGACATGCACTCTGGATGCACATTCAATCACCGCTACGTTAAATCAAATCCTCGAGATGTGGAGAACGCCACGTGGATGTTAACTGTAAGTATATTCTATTGATTCCATTTGATTGTGAAACCATCTCTTTCTTCATGTTGAAATGGTTTTGCAACGCATGCTCCTCAAGTTGTATGTTTCCCAATGGGCTCATTAAGATCTTTGAGAAGTTCCATTGAATGAGTCAGTAGTTTTTCTACGTAATTGTATTCTGTAATGTGTTGCATCTTCATTAAGATTAGAATGATACGACAGTTGTTTTCTGGGAGTCCAGCAAATATGTTTTCAGCAACGCACTATCTTTATGGTCATAATGCACTAGGGCTAGTATGACGTCTGATATTGTTTGCATTGACAGTTTGAATCTTTGTGTCATTTTCAAATTGTGTAATCTATGTGAATCCCTTTTACCGTTATATAACCAAAAAATTACTCCAGAAATTGTTTACCTTCATGGATTATGAATGCTGAAGGCCTCCAACCTCTTTCCCCGTTCCAGGTTTTCCATTGTTTCGGTCAGTACTTTTGTCTTCATTTTGAAGCTTTTCAACTTGGCATGGCCCCTGTTTACATGGCTTTTCTTCGGTTCATGGGAGATGAGATAGAGGCACGAAACTACAGTTACAGCTTGGAGGTTGGGGGAAATGGCCGGAAACTTATATGGGAAGGCACCCCAAGAAGCATTAGGGATAGTCACAGAAAAGTTCGGGACAGCCACGATGGTCTCATTATACAGCGTAATATGGCACTTTTCTTCTCTGGAGGAGACAGGAAAGAGCTTAAGCTTCGTGTAACAGGAAGAATATGGAAGGAACAGCAGAACCCAGATGGTGGCGCATGCATACCCAATCTTTAAGGCTGCTTAAATCTGTTTAACGTTGTTTTCCATTTTTTGTGCTTGAATTTAAGCTAAATGTTATTGTTGCATCGATATATTTGGTATTCTTGAAAGTGTACGTGTATCTGCTTCAAGTTTCAGTGATTCATAGGCTTCCTTTTCGTTATTGTTGATGCTAAGGGGATTAGTACCATGTATCATGGCGAGTTGGCTAATAAGAGTATAGTTTTCTTCTTCTATTTAAAAACTCTCTCTGTGGTGTAACCTTTTATACAGTCATGTGCACAATTGAAGTATCAGTCTTCCAGCTAGAATGAACTTGATTTTGAGCACTATTATTAATACAGTGGTTGCTGCTGATTTCTAATATTTGGCAAAAAACCTACAAAATTCGTTCGTTCTTTCCCCAAGAAACCCGACAAATTTCAAGTTCCTAGTAGCACAATCTCCGACATTGATCCCTGTCCTTCAATCCTTTACAGAGGACATGAGAACCAAAAATTCTACAAACAAATGCTGATATCATGTCTGAAGAATAAAGAACTTCTTGTTCAGAAACCTGTCAACTTTACTTCCAGTGAGATACAGATGGGAATTTAAATCGAAGAAACAGAAGGAAATTGTTACGAAATAGAAGAATGTTCACTGGACATCCACAGCCCAATACGTGAACATATGAACAAATGTATCGTTTTAATTTATAAATATCTCTCTCTTTCTTCAATTTATCATTTTTTTTTCTCCCTATTTTGTAGGAAATGCACCCAAAATTGTGAAATAATAAATGACAGTGCTAAAATTATTATATAGAGATTGAAATTTGCTCTGTACATTTGGAGAGTCAAATCCATTTTATTTTAAAATTTTACATATGGAGAGTTCGTTGGACTCTTAAAAAAAATTGATTCAACTCTCTTAAAAACGAATATGGAGCTAAAATTATGATGTAGAAATGGCTTCTATAAGAATTTTTAAACTTCAATATCCTCAAAATTTGTGACAAAAGGGCAAATGGAGGTGCGGGGAATCGAACCCCGTGCCTCTCGCATGCGAAGCGAGCGCTCTACCATATGAGCTACACCCCCTGGTTGATGTATTAATCTTGTATAATTTTTGAATATGAAAACATTGAACTTCATATAAACCTCACTAGCCTCCATGAATGTTACGTTTTAAATGATTCTCACCCAATTAAAAGGATTTTTGAGTTTGTAAAACGATTTATACCATTTTAATAGAAACTTTTGTTATCGCAGAAATTTTTACATCTTTAAAAGTTGAGTAGCCATCCGCCACCCCCTTTCTCAAGTAGACAAAATCGCTCTATGACCAATGAATTGGTTACTCGTTTGGTTGAAAAAGACAATCGATTGATTTGAATTAGAAGGTCAAGTTCGAGAGGCCAAACAAAACCGAGGAAAGATTAAGAGAGACCAAGCAAAGTTACTTCCAAATATTATAACGGTGAAGGCAATAATAAAATATTCAATTTTCTTAGTAAGTAATGCCAATTCTGAGATGTAATGAACACTTGAGCAGCCAGTCTCAATTGTTCGTGGATCATTCCTCTATATCTGTTCGTGTGAATTGACACTTTGCACCATTTCTTATCAAGTATGGAAAATATTCATTTGTTTAACATTTTAGACTTCTCTTAAAATTCATTTTTAACACATATCATGAAATCCACAATTTCACAAACTTTTATCAAAATTTACATAAAATTCATTTTTTTTTTCCAAACAATAAACTACAACTTTGATCAACGTGATTTTTTTCATAGAGTTTACGTTCGGGCCTCGAGTTTTTTTCCTACACGTACATGTCATGATTATAACCGGAACCGATACCACAATCGCAGCTGAGTTGGTAGGGTCTCCCCGTCTTGATGTTTTGTTAATTCAGCATATATACGTATAATTTCAAATTTTATACAGTTTTGGCTCAAAAAATCAAAGGTGGCTCAAACTTCACAACACAACGCACGAAGTAGATAAGAATTTTCAAAATCAGCACACAGGAAAAGTATTTGCTGTATAGGAATGTTTGGCATATTAGCAACAAGATAGATGATAGTAGACGTAGATAAAATAAAAGTATTATTTCAACAGTAGAATCAAAAGAATAGTTCGAGAATATATCAAATTAATGTCAACTAATGATATATCAAACTCAGCTGCTAGTAAAGAATAAACTGAAAGGAATTTAGACTACCATGAGAATATCCGAAAAAGAAATAATGCACCAAATTATCCAACTTTCTTGACTGAATTTTTAAAGAAGTTTATACTTAGAATAAAAAGAAAATTTTCTGAACTCTGAAGTCCAAATATGAATTTCCAAAAGTAAACCTGCACGTCAAAAGACAGATACCGGTCAGTGAAACATATAGTATTTCTGCCTGTAAAATGAAGATTGCCCCCACCGAATATTTTACATAGTTTCATATTTATTATGCAATTGTACAAGTTATCATGATAATGACTCGCGTATCTTGAGAGAGGAGAAAAACAAGAAACTGAGCTGAGTCGATTTCTTTGCCCTATTTGTTTTCGCCTTGACTTTCCTTTTCTCTTCTCTTTACTTTTTCTCTGAGTTGGTCTTGATCCAGAAAGGTAATAAAGTCTGCTAGAGACCATATTCTCTAAAGGTTGCTAGAATTTAAGGTTAGCATACTAGGTCTTGTAGATATTAAGCTAATCAGATATAGTAGTTTTTCACTAAAAGAAACCACGTAATCATCTTGATGATCCCATAAACTTTTTCTGAACTGTCTTCTTTTAGTTAATTAACTTTTTGCTTGAAATGAAGATAAGAAATGGACAGCGCCTTTTGCTAAGAAGACCCTTTCCCTAAAAAGCAACTGTCTCTGTAAATATGTAAAGATTTTATAATCATGCTCGGTCTTACAACTTGATTGCTTAGCACCTCCAACCCAGTTGGTTATTTATTATGCGCTGAAGGTAAAAAAAGGTTGTTGAAACCAATGACGATAACAATGAGCTATAGAAGTTTCAAAAGATTTTCTGTTCTCCCCTTGAAAATGAAAACAGAAAAGAAATGTAAGCGACTAACCTGTGTGTATTTTGAAATGATGTACTCAGGCATCTAATGAAATTCCATCCACTAAAGCTGGAAAATCCAAGACATCTATATTGCTGTTGTGTACCATCCACATGAAGATGATATCTTCATTGATCATCTGGTTATATTATTCGATGAAGGTCATAAAAAATTTCCTCACGTTGTATTAGCTGTGTTAGTTTCCTTTGAAGCAAAACTGGTAAACCTAGGACGCTCGGTTTCTCTGATAACTCTGCTATATACAACTTTGAATGGCTGCGAACTGTATGGCCTTTTGAGCAAACTTAATGGCATTCTCAGCATCTGCTTTCGGTTTCTTCTCCCTCTGATTAAAATATTGAAGGTTTTTTCTTCACCAGCGTGCGCCTGCTGTCTCAATACATGATGATCATTGCATCTGATATTCTCTTCTTTTGGACTAGAATTATTGATTAATTGGTTAGCAGGAACAGTAAGGTTATGCATACTAGATTTATGTTTTTCTTCCCCATTTCCTGATTGAACCCCAGCTATGTCATTTAAGTTCACCACTGTCTCTGATGCTAGAAAAGCTACTTCTTTCTTAGACTCAGTCCCAGTGTCAAGATCTACTGGCAAGCTTTGTGCCAAATTCAGAGTCTCCAAGTAAATAGGTTGCACCTTTGACTCCAAAGTGGATTCAGCAATTGACTCAACTACAGGTGGCGAGACAGGCAACTCTATTGGGTGATGGCCAGGCCAAACTGCGCCAGAAATGTAGTCCGACAAATTGGCATTTATGTTACATTGCCAGACAAAATGATTGGTATGAAATGGCCCGCTAGGTACTGGAAAAGTGCTCGGTGGTAATGATTGGGGCTGAGTGTATGTAGGGTACATAAATGGCAAGGGGTGCATCATGTTAGGTGTTGGTGGAGGCGATGGATATGGTTGGTGAGGGGAGGAGCACATAGGATTGGGTAAAATGGTAGTGGGAGCTGGATGAAGAGTCATATTAATTGGCCAAGGGCCAACCATTGGAGCAGTTCCTGGACCAGAAGGGGGAGTAATGTTCATAGACAATGGTGCTACACGTCCAGCGGTTGGTGATGGGTTAAATGGAGTTGCTGATGCAGACAACTTCTTATTGGATATCTCTCTGGATTCATTTGAACCATGCACTGAAGATTTCACCTTTAGTTCTTCGACTTCTCCCAAAGTAGAGTTTGGATCATTGGCAGCTTCTGCTATGTTAATTGAATTCTTGGAACAAATATGCATTCCTAGAGAGTCTACAGAACTTGAACTGTTATCGTCCTGAATATCTTGCTGAACCATTTTATTAAAGTCAACAGTGCTGGATTCGCACGGTGCCACACTTACTGCAACCTCTGAGTTCTCATCATCTGTTTTGTCCTTTGAAAGAGTTTCTTCTTTCTTTTCAGATGAGTCGTCTTCATCTTTCAGATGGATCGTGGGATGCACAAATAAAACTTGAATATTCTCTTCCTCACTATTTTCAGCATTTAATAGCATGGACCCAGCATTTTCCATAACCTCATTGTTTTGCTCATCAGTTCTTTTGAGTTCCTTGCTTCCAAGAGTTTCATTTTGGGGGAGCATCACCCGCAGCATGGGTATAGTCCCTGGTGGGGCCAGAGCTACTTCCTTATAAGAAGGAGATTTCCCCAAGCTTACTATTGAACTTTTCTTTGATACTGGTCCAACCTCTCTTTGTACAGAAACCATCCCCTGATCTATTGGGGAACATAATGACTCACCTTCATTTTTGGAGGTCTCTGCAGAAGCATCTTTGGCAGATGAAGATACAGACTTAACTCTGTATGCTACTGCTTTGACTAATTTTCGCCCAAATTTGGCACCTGAAGATGGACCTTTTGCAACAAAATACTCTGCATAACTTCCTGGTGACATTGTCCGTTTCTTTAACAGATAATATTTATTACTTAGATGGTTATTCTTCAGTCTAGGATGATCTACTTCAGCAACTTCTTTTTTCTGATAACCAAGAATCTTACTTGCATTCTGCCTTCGCTGCCTCAGTCGTCTCCCATACAAGCCAGATGATCTGGGTCTTTGAACTGACTGCCATCCATCTTCTCCTTCGGTGTGTGTTTTGGGTGTAACATCACCATAAACAGAAGGCTTTTCAGCTACAGCTTCCTCCAGCAAAGGGTTGTTGGATTG